AAAAAAAAACACATTTAAGGCAGGGAGAATTCTCTTCAATATGCCATTTATATTTTGAAAATATCTAGTTTGGTTTAAAAGTTATGAATAAATGAAAAGTCACCAATTCAATGGCCGACATGAGAATCTTGTAATTCCTAAACTATATTCGAATATGTTGAAGAACATCTTTACTATGGCTGTATTTTATGCTTTAGACATGTTGACTTTGTAATACTCTATGGAGCAGTTTTAATAGGGCCTGAGCATAAGTTCCCCATTTCAGCAACTTTCCTTCTATTTCCAGCATAAAAATGTCAAATATTATGCGAGCTGCTCCATTCTCAACTGGTATTTGATGGTCTTTGAGCTAATGTATGAAGTGCCGCAGGGAGATTAGCTTCAGCCGTGGCCGTTTGCATTCGTATTAAAGCGCCTCGATGACGGCCATGGATGGCAGCCAGATGGGGGCCAGCTGTTAATCCGGCAGTCAAATTATATTCAATTGAAGAAGCCATTGGCTTTGGCATACATCGATTGGCTTAGTGATTGGGCCTGGGTCTGGGTCTGGGTGTGGGTCTGGGTCTGGGACTACTCATTTACTGCTGTGGCAACATCAAACGGATTTTCGCACTATCATCATCGGCAGTGTCACAGCAGCCAACACATTCGCATCGCATCAGATGAGCAGCTCCCATTTATGCTCGCCCAGACTGCGGCTGGGTGGGGTTGCTCAAGTGGGCCCTTCAGCCTTTTGGCCAACTCCCTCTCTCTCTCTCCCCCTCACTCTCTCGGCGTGTGATTGGGACACATGTATTCGCCTTTCAGCGGGTGCTCTCATAATGTTTGGCTATTCTGCTGACTGCTGCTGGTTGCGTGCCAGCTTCATCAATGGATATGTTCGAGTTGTTCATATTATTTGGTTATTCAAATAAATTTGCTGCTGCGCCATTTGTATCTACCCACTCAATATAGCCACCCACCCACAGAAACACACACAAGCCCACACCCACACCCACACACACACTCTTGTGTCTGATGAGAATGTGCGCACATAAAAGATAATGAAAGTGTTGGCCTGCCCCATGGGAACTCTGGTGGATCAATGCGCGCGCCTGCAAGTATGCAATGAAATTTTGTTGCCTGAACAGGTAGTCATCGATGTGAGTGTGTGTGTGTGTGTGTGTGTGTGAGCACTCTAATACATGAAATGGCTCATACTTGCAACTGGAATTCTAATCAGAGCGTATACCCGCCCACCATCCAGCTACTTCACATGGAAAGTGTTTAAGCCATAATCCAATTACGTTTCTTATATTTATTCCGCTCAATTTGCTGCAGCTCATTGTCTCAGACTCTGCCTCAACTAGTGAGTGGGCCAGCATGCCAGCATATTCATCTCAAGGCAGTTCGCTATTCTATTCCACAGTATTTCAAGTTCAAGGATGCAATCCAAGCCCTCGCTCTTCGTGGCTGGTTTGCGTTGCCTATATAGAACTGTGTCCCAAGAGCTCCGCGACTGCAGCAATCGTTAGATCTCACAGCCATTCTATTTGGCAATACTTGAGATTCAACAGTGCAGATCTCCATAGAGGCGCCACAGCCTTGCTGTTGATGGCTTTGCTGTTGCTGGAGGCTCTCGGCACTCAATCCCATCTTTATACACATTCATCAAACTGGACTGAGCGTATAGCTGTTGTCCAATGTCCGGTGCGTACATCGTTCGTTTAGAAGGACCTGATGGTAAATCGAATGATGCATATCCGGTTTAATTGTTGAAGAACTGAAATGTGGAATATACATACAGGGCTGTCCACGTTTGACGAATGCATCTGGCAGCCCTACAAGGTTGCCCATAATCGAAGAAAACGACCATTTTTTTTTTTTTTTTATGTGGACGATAATAATCATTTAATTTGGTTCAAGTAGATTTACCAAAATTAGAATATGATATCTCTCGAATGGCCGCCTTGAGCCTGTACGGCGTATTGTGCGCGTCTCTGTCAAAAGATGTAGGGTTGCCAGATAGGTCAATGCAATATAGACAGCCCTGTATATAAAAGCTATGTCGAATACATACATACACATATGTATCTTAATCCTTTGAGGGCGTAGCGAAATGGAAATGTCTATATGACCATGACTGAGTGTTCTGCAGTCGGTAGCTCCCGACTGCAAAGTTCATACCTGTCTTTGACCGTGCACACTGTGGTCGCCTGGCTTAAATACGCTTTCCCAGTCAGCCTTCTATCAAAAGTGAGGAGCCAAGGGAAACATCCGGACAGGCAGCTCTCCGGTGTGCTCGCCCCTTGGCCCAGTAGAGGGATGCAGAGTTGATATATCTGTCGTGCAACTAGCTCAAACCCAATTTATGCACTCTAAATTTGTTTTAATTCCCGCACAAGTTAAAAGAAAAACGACATTCGGCTCGTAGCTGCAACTAATTTTTATCATTTAAAATCGAACATGGAAATGAATGTGACTATGACTATACATTGGAGTAACTGTCATCTGGAATATGTCAATTGTCTATCAAAAAAAAAAGAAGAGGAAAAAACTATGAAAATCTAAACAACTTAACTAGCCTTGTTATTGGTCAATTAATGGCGCCAGATTGGAGTCTTCTTACTGCGCGCGATCATAGCAGTTAGCTGCTGCGAATATTTGCCCCTCTCATTGACCGGAAGCTGAGCGAACTGCCTGGCTCTGTTGGCCTGGTTGCCCGGCAAGCGTGCGCGATTGCTTACAGTCTGAGTCGATTGGCTGCGCGACAAGTTAGTCTCCCCGGAACTGGTGTCGTCCATGTCCAAGGCATTCCGCGGAGAGGCGGTAAAGGAATGCGACTTTCTGGTGTCGTTCTGCGACAAGGCACCGATCGAAAGCTGAGTGTCGCTACAGGTAGCGTCGGGAAGCTCGGCGTCTCGCTTCATGCCCATGTTGGTTAGCAAATTGTCCATGCTCATCTCGTAGCGCCACTGGTTGTACTGCTGCTCGAGCATCAGCTGCTGCCTTAATTTCTGCAAAGAAAAAAGAAAAATTGGGTTGCCTATTGGGCTCGGGGCCAGCGGCCATTCGAAGCACTTACGAAAATATTACGCTTGTACATATAGGTCAATAAAAATCCGGAAATCACCATTAATGTCATCGAGAACCACAGAAACTGATGTCGATCCATGCCCAGGGCCTGCATCACGGACATGCTCTTCACAAATATCCAGCACGATTTGGGCCACTGACGGCAAGTGGATGTATGCATGATGTTATCTTGGGCATCCACTACGACCTCGTTGGTCCACAATTCCAAAAGTTTTTTAAAATGCATCATATTTTGGTATTCTTTCACGGGGACGAATTGTAGTAAAAAAAATAAAAAAAATAAAAAAAAATTACAATTTTTGAGAAATTTGAAATAGTCCGAAAGCGTTCGATGCGTAATTTTAAATGAGCTCCAAAATCCGGAAGCAAGCCTTATATAGTCTCGCTTTCCAAGGCCTGCTGCGACTCGAAATGTTTTTGCTGAAAATGTGATTCAGTTTACAATTTGACGGGAAAGCATCGAATCTGGCAACGCTGTACACATAGGCATTGCCGTAAGCGATACTTTTTACTCGGTTCGATTTCACTCTGTAGCGAACCAGATCTAATCGAAAAGCTACATTTCAATCGAGCTGGCTTTGCATCGCACATCAACCCTGCACTCCTGGGCCCTTATACTCGCCTATTGCGTAAAAAGAACATAGATATATTCAAGTTTATTTACTGAAGCTCGACCACAGATGCCCTGGATTACTATAGACTCATGCGCAGCGTTCCCCACTGGCCTAAGCAAAGTATCGGTATTTCATATTGCATACAATCTGGGATTTCACGCCCTGAAGCCGTTAAAAATGCGAAATCTGGAGAGGAGGGGCAAGAGCTGAGTCGATCTGGCCCTGCACGGCTCCGTCTGCTTAAACGCAGATATCTCGTAAGCCATACAAGCTTGAAATATTTAATATACACATATCAAGATATTCAGTCAATTACTCTTTATCAACGATATTCTCTGATATGCAGTGATTTACTATTTTACTACTATGATCTCTCCCTGATACATAGAGATTATCATTCAATTATGATCTTCCTCTGATATTACTCATAAAACTACACTCAGGTGTATTCTCTCTATAAAGATCTTTCTCAGATATTTACTTGCTATATAGCGATATTCAAGCCACTACTATCGTTGGCCTATATTGTCTGATATATAGGCATATTCATTCAATTACTGCTTATCGCTGATATTCTCTGATATGCAGAGATATTCATACAACTATGATCTTTCTCTGATATGTGGGACATCATTCATTTATGTTTTTTCTCTTATATTTCTCAGTTGTATAGGAATATTCACTCATAACGATAGCTCTTTTATTTATCTATAGAGAGATATTTTTTAAGGTATGATTCGTTCGTATATATCTCTGATACGTATCATATCATTGAACTGCTACCTCACTTTAATATTTCTTCGTTATATAGCTATATTTTTCAATCATAGATCCTTCTCATATACTTCTCTCGTATATATGGATATATTCATTCAGCTAGAATACATTTGTTTCAGATATAAACTCAGCTATTTAATGTTCCTTCGCATTCTAAAATAGCCATAAAATAGCTTTAACAATTGCTTTCATTTACTCTATTGTTGCAGTCACAAGTGCTGCGTGGCTACAACTATTCGAAAGCTATATTCGACTTGGTTGCAGTCCCATCACTCACTTTCGCACTCGCCCACTCACTTTGCGTGTCTGTCGCCAAGTTGCAGCTCGCCAACTTCGTGGTGTTGCAATGCCCCTGGCTCGCAGACAAACTCAAATATTTTGCTAAATAAATTGAATGCAGCTAGGAAAATATGCTCGCTCTCGCACTCTCTCTCCCGCTCCCCCCCCCCTCCCCCCTCTGCTGGCGTGGGCGATGTATGTAAATAGCGCGACAACCATGAGAAATGGCAAAAACTTTCATTCGAGCAAACAAAGCTGCAATTCTAATAAAGTCATGGCGCGCCATGCAACGAGCGAAATTTGGTTGTCGTCTGGCTAACTGTGAATATGCATATATGAGTGTGTGTATGTGTGTGTGTGTGTGTGTGTGTCCCTCTCTCTTTGTGTGTGCATGCCCACATTGTGCCCATATTTGGAATTGCTCTTATACAGCTTGTGCTGCTGCCGGACCGAGCGTTTTTTATTGTCCTGCGCCATACGTGCGCTCATATTTCACAGCTGCCACAGATTCGCCATTTCGTTCTCATAACAAGACACCAAAAGAGGCATCATAACGTGACTCCAAGTGCCGTCCACAGCGGCCACAGTGCCCACTGCGCCCACTGCGCCCACAGCGCCCACAGCTGCCTTACGTCCAGCGACACGGCACACAATTTTCTATTAGGCCGTACCCGCAATTTGGCCACACACAAGTTTCCGCCATTTAATGCGGCACATAAATAGTTTGGCTTACCGCAACAACATGCCTTGCCCAACTGGCGCAGCTGGTCAGTTGGCTGCCGCCACGCCCCCATTGCCATGAAGGCCATAAGTGCGAACTCATTTGCATCTGGCAAATAGCATATTGCGGTTGCACTTACAACTTCTTAATGATGTGAGCAAACATTGCTATGCAATCACACACACGCGCACACACACAGATACAGGCACGCTCACGCTCAATTACACACGCACACATATTTGAAGGGGATTCACCTAGAACAGTCGGTGTGAGTGACTTTTGCTGAGACTTTGGCAATTGACTTAGGTAACTTATTGAACTTGGGCAAAAATCTTGACAAAGTCAAATATTTTTTGATTGATTTCGGTTAGAATTTGATTATCTTAAGTGAAAATAAGTGACAGCGTGTCAGACGGCTGCTACTGACTGCAGTATACTCCTTAACGATGCAAAATCAATTGAATGTGTTTTGGGCAAGCAACTATTCATGAGTCTGCAACTAGTTAGTTAAGTAGTTCCATATTTCGAGTGCACATTCCAAATTTAACTCAAGGCGCTCAACCGAAAACTAAAAATAAAAGATTCGAAGTCTCTTCCTCAGAACGAAACGATTGAGTATGATTATATTTCGGTTAACAGTTAGTTGCGAGTTGATAATTAAACAAATTTAATTCAAAGGAAATTCTCTGAGTGAAASCATTTATTATTATTAACAGGAATTCGAAGTCTCGCTTGAATATATATTTCTTGAGAAGTTCAGCTGCCATAGCGGGCTAATTAGCTAAAAGTGTGAACAATCCGAGCGATTCCATGGAATATATATGCGCAACGAAAGCTCAATAATCTTCTTTTGATTGGGCTTCATAGGAATAAAATAAAAATAAATATTTAAAATAACAAGTTAATATACATAGATAATGAAATTTATCAGAATCAACTTTTCAGCCAAGCGAGTCGGGAATAAATTTTAAAGTAGGTTAAATGCTTTCATAGTCGCAGCAAGAGAGAAGCAAAATATTATTGCTTAATTATGGCAGCCATGTCCCATTTCATATAGCGAAAAGCAATAATGCGAGGCGCTCCACGTGGCGTATACGCAATATTTGTTGTGTGCCCTTTACACGCGTTTTTAACTTGTCAGTGACATTAAACAGTGCCCCAGGGAACGCATTGATATCGGGCTTACATGATGCATGCCACATGCATGCAAAACATACATACATACATGCACACATATACAATGTACAGTGATTTACAGTTATTGTATTTATTCAGCTATCGTCTCATTAATCATTAAGTTTGCTCTATTCCGGCTTTATCATCAATACGCGTTAGAAATCTATTAAATGCTGAATAGCCGGTCCAACTGGCTAGCCAATCAAATGCAGTTCAATTGTGCAGCCAAAAACAGTTTTAATGTAAATCGGATGAGAGTTTATTGCAAATAGTGAAACTAGGTCAGTCGGCTCTTTATTGTTGCCCCAAATAATTTACAAACATTTTGAAATAAACTTGTAATCGGTAACCTTTGCATTTTTATTGCTTTTGCAGTTCTCGTTGAAAGCTGTGTGCAATTGGGATTGAAGGTAAGTTCAGCAAATGTTTTTGTTACCCAATTACTCTTTTAACTAATTAAAAGGTGTTTTTGATTGCAATGCATTTGCTGCTCAAGCTGGAATATATTAAAAATTTCAAAGAACAAATTTCAATTGGAGCAATGTTATCCACTCCCATTTGTTAAATAGTTGCTAATCGCAGGTATAAAAAATCACTATCAGGCTCAAACTTGATCATCAATGTAAATTTTTTCCAAGTTACGCACTCAGTTAATTGGCATCAATTTGTTTTAGATGGCTTCAAAATAACCGTACTTTAACTTTTTCCCATTTAACACCTTTACAATTGCTTGACAATGTGCTCTTCCAATTGCCATTCCATTCCATTYTCTAGTCGCCTTCGATTCGTCTACTAACACTTATAGCGGGCCTGATCAAATGGTTTCAATAGCCATCTCGCCTACACTCAGGGTCTCCCGCTACTAAGTTCAGCAATAGCTATCGTTGTCTCTTTCACTCTCCCCCAAATAATGTGAATTAGAATTTACCACAAGCTGTAAATGGGAAGAGTGCAGCTAATACGCAAGCTCGCTCGGATAATATTTTACAGTAACTCAATTCAAGCTCCCAGGCACTGATACTACTACAAAAGTAGAAGCCAATCGCAATCGCGAATTGCAAAACTAAGAAAGCAGGTTGTGTTATTAATTTCACGTGCTGGAAATTTAATAAAAGAAAATTTAGAAATGGCAGAAAATAAGTAAAAAAGAAAAGTTAAGGCTGAAGCAACTAAGATTACAACAAATGTGGACATAATTATTATGTCAAACGTCTGCAATTTAAAGTTAAAGATAAAAGTGCTTGGGTGTTTTCTGCATATTCTGTTGGAAGAATTGCATTGGTAGTGGAGCACGTAGTCATTAATTAAAGCACTGCTGTGTGTTGACTGCAGACGCTCAGTGTGCTCAAGCGAATTGAGCGATTGTCGGGTCAGAGTCAATGCGACAGCTTTAACGCAAAATGTCAATCAAACAGCGCTGCACCACATGCATCACACATACACTTGTACACACACACACACACTGTATGCAGGTACTAACCATGAGTATGGGTGTGAGTCGACTGTCAGTCGAAGCTGCCGGCTCATTCGCCTGCAGCCCTCTGCCTCGGCATATAGCAATTTTCGCTGCCACTTCAGCTCATTTAACGCCAACAAAGGCGACGCTGGCTCCTCTGATTGGCAGGACGTAGAGTACAAAGCAGCCCAGTGACAGGTGACTTGGGCGACCACGACAGGGACGAGGATGAGGAGCAGCTGGAGGTGGAG